AAAATTAAAAAAAAAAAAAAGAAGCATAGCTTAAGCAACACTGTGTCATATTTGTATTGGTCACTCTATTACATCCAGCCACTCCTCGGAAGGAAGATGGTGCAATCTACTTCCGTAGTGATACTGCCTTGGAAACCCAAGGAGGGGTCGCTATGAGTCAGGTCCGACACAACGGCACATAACAACAACAACAATTACAACAACAATTACATCTTCACACCCTCACTATCCTTGGGCTAGCTCTATAATTCCCTAGACTTCTTCTTTATATCAAATGCTTGTTGTGAGTTAGTTTCTAAGGTTTTAGAAAATCATTTAAATTACATTTATTACAAAACGAATTCATGCTCATTGAAAAACATAAAATAATATGGAAGTAAAAATGTGAAAGACTATGTTTCTCTCACCCAATTCTACCGCTCTGAAATTTCCACTCTTAACATATTATACGTTACCTTCCAGAGCTCTTTATATGCATCCACACACACACATGCACACACAGTTTTTACATAAGGAAATGATAATATAAATTTTACCTTGCACCTTGCTCTGCTTGCATAATAAATCTTGGAGATCTCTCCATTTTACTACATATAAAAAAAAAAACAAACTCACTGCCCTAGAGTTGGATCCAACTCATAGCAACCCCTCCTTGGGTTTCCAAGGCGGTATCACTACAGAAGTAGATTGCCCAATCTTCCTTCTGAGGAGTGGCTGGTGGGTTTGAATTGCCAGCCTTCTGGTTAGCAGTCATATTCTTTTTAACAATTGCACAGTGTCCTGTAGATTGGATTTATTCTATCAAGTCCATATTGATAGACATTTAGGTTGTTTTCATTTGTTTTGCTCTTATGGACAATACTTTCATGGATACTTCCGTACACTATTATACACAAGTGTTTGATGGACACTGTTGTATGTGCAATGAATATCCTTGTATACTTTTGCATACATTTATGAATTTTTTCATATATGATATGTTCTTTGAACTAGAACATCTCATTTTCAGATTTCAAGAAGTATGAAATGTTACTTTACTTAGACATAAGTTTTTTTTTATAGAGGGACTCTTTTGTTAATCACTTCAAAATAAAAAGGAACAAGAGGTGCTACTACTATACTTAGAGAGATACGTCTGTAAGACTTATTCTGAGATTAGTGCCTAGAGTGGAAATGAGAAGAGGATGTTGTAGTGTGGAGGAAGGAGACTCAGGCCTGCTACTTTCCCTTTCTTTAGTTGCATAACTGAAAGCCTAAGGCTTAGGAAGGTGGTTATGTGGACATGTCCAAAGTACCTCTGCCAAAAAGATGGGCTGGGCTACCTTACAATACCACAGAAGATTCTCAGGGTGGAGGATAGGGGTTGTCATTGTTAGGTGTTATCGAGTCAACTCTGACTCATAGTGACCTTATGTACAACAGAATGAAACATTGTCGGGTCCTGCACCATCCTCCCAATCTTTGCCACGCCTGAGCCCATCGTTGCAGCCACTGTGTCAATCCATCTCGTTGAGGGCCCTCCAGTTTTTTGCTGACCCTCTACTTTACCAAGCATCATACAGTTCTCCAGGGAATGGTCATTTCTGACAGTAGGTCACTACCTCTAACCTCTTGGTCTTTTCTCTAGACCAAGAGGTTAGAGGTAGTGACCAATATTCCTTATAGAGGACATGATGTTTGGCAAATCATCTTGAAAGGGTACTAACTTCTGATCTAGATTAAGGATTCCTTAGAGCTGGGGTTATGATTTGTTTGTATTCTATGTCTTGGCTCCAGTTACCAATTATGCAGTGCACTTAAAACGTTACAGGTTGGTGATGATGCCATTCAAATTGCTGACAAAGGGGAAGAAAAAATGGTGTTAGAAATGAGCCCTTATATGGCTTTGCTGGGATAGTAGCCATGGGAAGAGGAAAGTTTGGCCTGAACGTGTGGAGTGTTGAAATTATTTGAGCTATTCACACTTACTGCTTCTCTGTTGGCAGGCTGCCGGAAGATATCACCATCAGAATGTTCCCATGACAATTCTCCATCCCCTGTTTATTGAAAACAAATAAAGAAAGGATGATACATACATAGGAAGGGAAATTATCACCCTTGAGACCTAGCAATATTTTTGGTTCTATGACCCAAAGTTCCCAAAACCTTTTAGTTGTTGTGGCTATCCTTCAAAAAACAGAACTGAACTGCTTCTCTGGGTGTGCCTCTTTTTCCAAAACAACTCTGAAGAAAGTTACTACTTTCTAAAATAGACCATCTAGCAAGATTATCTGAATTTTTTTAAATAAAAGGGAAATCATTATCTTCCACAATAACAAAGCCATCATTGTCACTTCTGATTATGTTATTCCAGTGACAGTTAAGTATTTTGCAGACCATATTTAATATGTGTTTAAACTACCCTAAAAAAATGGACAGTTTTGAGGATTTGGTCTGTCATGATTTGTTAAATTCACCATTATGTCTCTGAGAAGTTATGACCTGATCTGAAAGTTAAGGTAAAACTTCCCATGGTTAGGGTGTTCATGTAACAAATATGCACAGCATTCTCCTCTATTTTTGCCTGAAACACCTTTTTCTAGGTCTACATGACCCACTGTTTGGACAGTGAACCCTTATTACCTCTGTCTTCAAGAGTAGATGCTTCTTGAAGAACAAATAGGGTATTAGTCCATTATTGTAAAAGTCAAGGAAAGGTTTATATATGAAAAGAAACTTCCTTTGTTGGTTACCAAAGGTGGGAGGGGAGGGAAACACTGCAAAAATAAAAATGAAGTAAGACTAGCTGCTTCTTGGAGGAAGATTCTATTCTCAGTTTTGAGAGCAACAAACAACAGATAGGGATATTCCTTAGCTCATTAAAGATAAAAAACAAGATAACAGAAGAATCCTGTTTAAAAGTGTGGTAGTTATGTTTGTGTATCAACTTGGCTGGGCCTGGTTGAGTGGCTGGGCAGCTGGTGGTAGTTATTCCCCATGATGAGACTGGCAATCATGTCCATGGTGGGATCTAGCACAAGCAGCTGAGTAGCTGCCTTTGGGATGTAGTCTGCTTCCTGTATATAAGGAGAAGCCTTGGGAATGGTCTCTAGCATATGGCATGCTTGGACCCTGCATGTAGGCGTGTCATTGTTCAGCAGCCGGCCATGCTCTGCTGACCTTGGGACTTAAAATGGACTTGAATTAATGGCCTGTTGTGTGGTTTGGTAACATTGGGACTGTGCCTTTTTACTTGTCAACCTTGAGCTTGGCAGCCTCAGCAGCCAGCAGTTGTCTGAGTGAAGAAATGCCTCTAGCTCCAGTGGGCTGGGAGCAGGAGGCAGAGCTGGACCCCAAAGTTGAGAGGCTTTCACCCAGCCCCTAGGGCCTGGCTCTTTGAACTTGGACTTAAAGCCTCCAAACTGTGAGAGAATAAACTACTATCATTAAGGCCATCCCATTTGTGGTATATTTCTGTCAGAGTGTCACTAGGTAACCAGAACAAAAAGCAAGAAAATGCAAACCACAATTTCAAATTCCCATGGAATCCAGATTTTCTGGAGCCATGGAGGCCCAAGAACTATTGCCCTGAGATAATCTTTAAACCTTGACCCCAAAATATCCACTGAAGTCTTTGGAAACTAAACAATAGTTTAGTTTAACTAGGAAAGAATGTCTGCCTTAAGCACTGTGCTCTTTCAAGATCTGTCGCGATGGGATCAAACTGACAGCAGCAACTCAAAAGATTAGACAGAAAAGTTAAGGGACAGTGAGATTGTGTTAATGGAGGAAGAACAATTCAGAAAAGAAGGGTGAGAATGGTTATACAACTTGAAGAATGTAGTCAATGTCACTGAATTGTACATGTAGAAATTGTTGAACTGGTGTATGTTCTACTATGTGTAGCCTCAACAACAAAACAAAAACATAAAATACATTTTTTAAAAAAGACTGATTTCTAATTCTTTTACCTTGTGTTACCTATGACCAAGGAAGCAGAAGCAGAATGAGAAGACCTTGGTCTTAGAGATGTGTGCGCCACTCTGAGTACTATTTAAATGTTACACACACACACACACACACACATCCCTCGGTGGCACAAATGGTTAAGTGTCGGAATATTAAGTTCTACTCTGCACACATGGGATCATCATGACAATATCAATTCAACCAGATATTTCATGAGATAACTAGAAAAAAGTATAAGCATTAAGAATGTTCTATTCTAATTCATCTCCCAAGCTTTCAAAAACATGAAGCTAAAATAATAGTATGTTACTGGTTCAAATATGTCATAGTTAACTCTTAGGAAAATTATGTAATGTCATTGCCTTTTAGAGCTTGACAAGGACCCTAGAATTAGTTTGCTAATAATATTATAATCAGAGAGTGACATAACAAAGTATGGCTTTAATCCTTCATAATTCAAAAATAATTTGGGAGTGGATAACACGATGAACATAACTGAATTTTGCATGTGAAGACTTCTGAAATGTGAAATGTCTTGTAATCTATTTATCACAGTAAAAACAATCTTAAGAAAAGATTGGATAATTTCGAAGATTTCTCTGATTGCTAAACTAATCTTCCTAAAACACCATTTTCATTGTATAATTTTATCATTCCCTGATCAAATCCCTCGGTGGTTTTCCATCCAAGACTCTCTACAGTCAGCTCCTACCTCATCTTTATTGAGCCCCTACCCCATACTCAGGGATCACTAGTAGTTCAATGGTAGAATTCTCACCTTCCATGTGGGAGACCTGGGTTCAATTCCCAGCCAGTGTGTCTCATGTGCAACCATCACCCATCTGTCATTGGAGACTTGCACGTTGCTATTATGCTCAGCTGGTTTCAGTAGAGCTTCCAGACTATGACGGACTAGGCAGAAAGGCTTGACAATCTACCTCTGAAAATCAGCCAATGAAAACTCTATGGATCACAATGGTCAGATACGTAGCCAATCATGGGGATGGCCCAGGATTGGGCGGTATTTAGTTTCATTGCACATGGAGGCCAACTCCATGGCACATGATGACAACAATCTTCTACTTAACTACACCAGCTACTTTACAATGTAAATCCTTTAATCTTCTTACTGTTCATGGAACATATGGCTCCCATTCTTGTTTCCATGCTTTTGCTCATGTTATTCTGAAATTACCTCCCCACTTCCCACACCTCACAGCTCCCCTATGCCTATGAAAACCATACCCATATTTGAGCGTTTCCAACTGAATTTTTCTTCCTCCACAAAGCATTTCTCAACCACTCTTACGTGCTTACAATTGCCTGAAAAACTAAGCATCTTGTAACCTGAGAGATGTATAGGACTTCAAACATAAGTTCCATGCCTCAGAGAAGGAAAGTGACCATTCACAGCCACATGAGTTCATGACAGTTAACATCAGAACCCCAGGAATCCTGACATCCAAATAAATATGTTCATTCCTTAAGGGGAGGGTTTTTTATTTGTGTTATTTATGTCTGTATCATTATCCAAGAGTTCTGGTGGTACAGTGGTTAAGGCATTTGGCTGCTAACCAAAAGGCAGGCAGTTAGAACTGCAGAAGAAAGATGAGGCAGTCTGAGGCAGTCTGCTTCCGTAAAGATTTATAGCCTTAGAAACCCTATGGGGTAGTTCTACTCTGTCCTATAGGGTCATTATAGTCAGAATCAATTCAATGGGTTTATATCACTGTCATCTACCACAGTGCCTAACATATAGTATGTATTTTTATGCAAATAATGCCCATGTTATAAGGTTTTGTTTTGTTTTGTTTTGTTTTTGGCTAACCATGCCCTCCACCCCACGAGGTATTTTTGTAAGTGCACTATACTAATTTATTTATGGTATTTTTATGTTGCTGTAAAAATTATCATAGCATGTTTACAAAAATGGAGGGGGAGGATGCAGTTGGCAAAAAAAAAACCCACTAATATGTGTGTTATTTACATAAAAATATAGTAGTCATTCAATAAATACTTGTCAAAAGAAAGAACCAGGAAGGCTTTTCTAACCATTCTATCTAATATTTCAACTCCCTCTGTTATTTATTCCCCGCCCCTTCCACTTTTTCTGCTTAGCACTTATCCCTATTTTATATTTTATATATTTTCTTCATCTTGTTTATTGTTTGTATTCCCTCACTAGAATCCTGCATGAGGGCAGGTATTTGGGCCTATAGTGTTCATCTAAAACAGTGCTGGGTACATAGTTAATACTCATTCAATATTTGTTGAGTGAATGGGTACTAAAATATTCTATAATACTTTCTGCTATTAAATGTTTCCTAGTACTGACTTGTCTCCGTGATGAGTCTGTAAATCCTCTGAATGTGGAGGCTATGTCTTAGACTCCCTTTAGCTCCCCTAGTGCTGGGGTTTTCAAAGTGTGATTCTTGGACCAGTAGCATCAGCATCCCTGGGAATTTGTTAGCAATGCAAAATTTCGGACCTACCCTACACCTACTGAATCAGAAACTCTGGGTACAGGACCCAGCAATCTGTGTTTTGACAAGCCCTGAAGAAGATTCTAATGCCCTTAGGAATTGGAGAATCACTGGGTGGGAGCACCTAGCATAATGCTCATTAGATATCAGATGCTCAATAAATGTACTGAATTAAAATGTGTTTTTTTTAAAAGCCCTATTAAATGCTTGTTCAACAGTACACATACTTCTGCCTGGTTATCACACATCTGGGAAAAGACGGTAGACAAAGACCTATTTGTAAGCCCTGGCTAACAATGTAAGAGTAAAGATGTTTTCACCTTTGTTTAAGACTAGAAAGCAATGGCCAATAGTCAGTTAACACACATTGAGCACCTCTTGAGTAAAGAGCCTGAACTAGATAGAGTAGGACTGAGTGAGAAATCCAGTTTGGACCTTGCCTTCAAACATGGCTAGAAGTGACAGAGAATCAATAGGAATTAGCCTAAGAACATGCATGCACAAAGCAACAATTGAAAATACAAATGGAATATATGTCTTTAGATATTGAATAGGAGGACTGAGCAGTCAGATCTAATTGCACAAAGCTTCCTGAGAGAACTATT